TATATATATATACACACACACACACACTTTAACGCAAGTAGTATTTAAAGTGAATACTTCCAATTTTACTGGAATAACATTTTACAGGTATCTGTACTTTCACTCAAGTACGTAGTTAATGTACTTTGTCCACCACTGTATGCATGTATAAATGCATGTGTCTATACTGTATGCATGTATTTGTATGTATATATATGTATACGTATAGGGTTTTTTTTTCTTCCTATTTTAGTGCGTCCAAAGTTTGAAACCATCATGGAGGATGTGGACGTGCAGGTTGGTGACACATCTCGTCTAGCTGTCGTAGTTGAAGGCAAACCAGACCCCGATATTCTGTGGTACAAGGTGAGGAGTTGCAGGCGTTTGGGACTTTAAAGTTACAGTATGTAAAATTGAATCAAATATTTTAACAGTATTTTTGTATTTTCCGGACTTTAAGTCGCTTTCTTTTAAAATATATGCTACGTTGTTGTTGGTTGTTTTAGCTGATATAGTAAAATGTTTTACAATTAGATAAAATACTAAATATACTTGCAATGTCTAAAAAAATATTTTATCTTTTAACACAATACTGCCTACAGTTACAGGTAACTAAAAACTGGCCAAATAATGAACAAGGGCTAAAAATGGCTAAATGGTAACCAATGTATTGTATTATTATGTTATATATGACAAAGGTAGCTTTAATACTTCTGTAAGACATCTAGAAATTAGCCCAAAATTGTTGCTTAGAGTTGGTGAATAAAGGCTCAATTTTTTCAAAAGTGAACTTGGAAATCTATAGTGTAACATCACATGCAGCCAATATTTTATTTTTATTCATGTATTTATTTTATTTTTGCAGGATGATGTGCTTCTGTGTGAAAGCAGCCACTTCACATTTGTGTATGATGACCCAGAGTATTCTCTGGTCATTCTGAACGCCCGCCCCGAACACTCCGGTGTGTACACATGCACAGCTAAGAACCTGGCAGGCTCCAACTCCTGCAAGGCCGAACTCACGATCCACACAGGTCTGTGGTCCACATCAATGATGCAACAGTCCAGAAATCCACACTGTATGACCCCACTGTTTACCCAGTCAGTTTTGTCGTCATGGCCAATGTAAAGATAGCAGCACAGATTGTGCTGAGGTGTAAGTTTTGTACCTGGAAGAATAAATACAACAGCAAGAAAAAAAGACAAAATTAATAAAAATTATTTTAGAAATGGCTTAATGATAACCAAAAAGATAAGACAAACAAATCTGAAACATGGATCCGTTATTGCAATTTATAATAGAATTATTATTACACAAACAGCTATCATTTAAAAATTTTTTTTTTTAAATAATGAATTAAGAATTGGTCCCTGTTCAGTCTTCTTCTCTCTGTACTCATCTGTGTAGAATGTTGTCTTCTGGGTGCAGTACACACAGTAATGTAAATGAAAACTACCCCTCCAAATCTGCAGCATATGGGAGGGGACCACCAGGTGTTTTGGAACCACAATATGAAAGCCATCTGTCACCAGTGCTGGCACACACAAACAGATAAACACATGCACGATTAGGGAAATAAAAATGCTAACATTCTTGGTCCATGCAGAGCGGAAAGAAGAACTAGAGCCAATGGAGGACGAGGGAAGCATCCTGAGAAAGATGAGGCGATTGACGGATTACTACGATGTCCACAAAGAGATTGGAAGGTAAGCGATCATTGTGTTGTATGTTTCTGGATGTGAACACATAGACATTTTGTGGGTTTTTGTGAGGAGGAGGGAGTCACACAAGCTTCACAGTAATAACAGATGAGGCCTTAGTGGAGAGAATGGATTTGTGCAACACACGATTAGTTTTGGCGTGACTCAGTGGAGATGACACAGCAGGCAAGCATCAAAAATAGGGCAGCAGGCTCAGAATGAGAACTTACATAAAGATGTTTTAACTGAACCACAAAAATCGACCAAAACTACAGCATAAACAAAAAGGTTAGCTTAACCTTTACTTGTTAACAGCACAATGTACTAAGTTGTTATCGCTGCGTTGTTAGCAGAATATAAACATGCCACTAAATACCAACAACAATAACAGCTTTGGTATTGAGTGGGGTGGCTGCAACTCACTTCTTTCCTAGGTCAGTGAAGCAATCTTCAGTATATGAGAGTATAGTTTTTAGAGTGAAATAAAAAAAAAACAATTACACAAAAAAGTCCAGGCTAAATAAGCTAAAATAAGACCATCTAACAGTAGCAAACTGAACAAAGTCTTTAAAGTGTTAAAAGTGTATTAAAATAAATAATTAAAAAACATATACCACCATATTAGTGTAAAAGCAAAAAAAAAAAAGTTTTATTGTGTTTTAAATATTGAAATTAATGTCTTGACTTGTTGTGACGGCAGGGGTGCCTTTTCCTATGTAAAGAGAGTGACGGAGAAGAAGACGAAGGCCGAGTTTGCTGCCAAGTTCACCTCTGCACGTGGGAGGAGGAAGGTCTTGGCTCTAAGAGAGATGGACCTTCTGTCTGAGCTTGACCACGAGAGGATTCTTTACTTCCACGATGCCTTTGAAAAGAAGGATGTGATGGTGATCATCACGGAGCTGTATCCCTTCAGTGCTGTCTTAATGTTGATGTGCTTCAAGTGGTGACGGCAGTGACTGAATTATTCACAACAGAAGTAGAGTGTCTCCGAGCAAAGCCTTTCCTGCAGCGCTGTTCTGAATGTTATCAGCCTCACTGACGACCAAAGTGCACTTAAATGCATTTCAAGGACTCTAACGATCATTAATCCTAATGTCTTCTTCAGTTTCCCAGGAGGCTGTAATGAAGAGCAGCACAGCTTTTTCTCTCTGACTCATCCACCTACTAGTGGAATTAGCCAAAAGCTGGGCTGTGTGGGAGTTTTTATGTTCTTTTATTATACATTTCTCTGCATATTTTCCACATTTTTTGGTCTGTGCAGTAGGATCTGTTCTCACTATGCCTTAACTGTTGTGTAAAAGATGTCATGAGGAGTTCCTGGAAAGAATAGCCAAACGAACAACAGTCACGGAGTTGGAGGTTTGTCTTTGAGCCTTTGCCAAACAGCACTGCGCCAACATTATGTAATGTAACATTCTGTGGTTCATCTTCCCTTGTTGTTACCCCACAGATACGCAGCAC